GGAATTGGGGAAGGGAACAGTGTTGGGGAATTGGGGAAGGGGAACATTGTATTTTTCCAGGACCCATCAGCTCCAAGTCAAGTTGTTGTCCTTCAATCTCAGTTGTGGAAGGCGCAGCTCAGCTCCAAGTCCAGTTGCTGTTTTCAGTCTAGTTGTGGGGGGCATAGCCCACCATCCCATGCGGGAGTAAAACTGGCAACCTTGTTGTTCAGAGCACATGCTCTAACCAACTGAGCCACCCGGCCGCCCATCAGCAGCTCAGTGGCAGCTTAGCTTGAGCACAGCTCACTGGCTCATGTGGGGATTGAACCGGCAGCCCTGTTGCTCAGAGCTCACACTCTAACCAACTGAGCCACCCGGCCGGCCCCCATGATGTTTTTAATAAAGTAGAAATAAATATATAATTAACATGCTTATGGCAATAAGTCATAAAACAAATTGGGACAACTTCTGGAATCACAGAATATTACTTAGCCTTTCTAAGTCTCAGTCATTTTATCTCTCTTTTAATGGAAATCCCAATTTTCTTTTTTCCTTTTTTCTTTTTTTTTTTCTATTGATATATAATTGACATACACCATTATATTAGTTTCAAGTGTACAACATAATGATTTGGTATTTGTATATATTACGAAACGATCATCACAGTAAGTCCATCACAGTAAGTACCATCCATTACCACACTTAGTTACAATTTTTTTCTTGTGATGAGAACTGTTAAGATCTACTCTCTTAGCATGAGCTTCTTGAATTATCCAAGGAATTACATTTTGTTCTGTGCAATTTTAGTGTTGCTTATTTTAAAAATAATTTTGTCTTGGGCCGGCCAAGTGGCTCAGGTGGTTAGGAATGCAAGCTCTGAGCAATGGGGTTGCAGGTTCGATTCCCACATGGGCCAGTGATGCTGCACCCAAGCCAAGCTGCCACTGAGCTGCCATTAGGTGGCAGGATGGCTCAGCTGGTGAGAGCTCGTGCTCCTAACAACAAGGTTTCCAGTTCAGCTCCTGCATGGGATTGTGGGCTATGCCCACCTGCAACTAAGATTGAACATGGCATCTTGAGCTGAGCGACCGTGAGCTGCCGACAGGTGGCTGAATGGCAACTGAACTTGGAGCTGAGCTAGCTGCGTCCTCCACAACTAAGATTGAAGGACAGCAACTTCGCTGTTCCCCTTTCCCAATTCCCCAATAAAATCTTTAAAAGAAAAAAATTTTTTTGTCTTTTAAAAATTGGTTGATACATCATAACCAAAATGTTTAGGTTTAGTTTTTCTTATTCCTTAGCCTTTCTGATTAAATAAGACTTTGCAAGGAAAATAGACATAACTTCCAAGGAAAATTTAGTAGTTTATTCTCCAGAAAGATGGATATTTTTATCCAGGTGACATCCTAGCAGAGTTCCCTTATAGAGATTCCTACCTGAAAAATTAAGCAATGTAATTGTTGTATGTTTTCCTTTTTCTTCCTTTCCTTTCCTTATAGATAAATGAAAATGAACTCTGCAAAGGTAATGCTGATACATGAATAGCAGAAAGAAGAGCTAAGTAAAGGTCTTGATTCATTTTTGTTTTGTCTTTTAGATTGTAAAGTAAGCAAAAGAAAACCAGCACTGAGAGAGAAGGAAGAAAGTTCTGAGCAATACCAAAGAGATGATATACAAACACTGATCCTACAGGTGAAGAATTTATTTTGTCAGATCAAAGCAGTTTTTATCCAGGAGCTTAGCTTTGTGTAACATGTGTTCATTAGCATATAAGTATCTACTTGCACACATGTTACATCTAGGCATCATGTAATTAAGAAAATGGAGGTTATTCCTAATTTACAGAAGCTTATATTTTACAACCATTACTCTGTATTCAACCATTCTAGAGATACTGCTCTGAATCTTCAGTTCATTCAGCTTATATGCTATGCCCTAGGCAGCAAAACCACCATGCAGTAAGAATTCCCTTTGTGGTTGGCCTAGGGGATGCACAGACGTGCAGCTGTTGTGCTGATAGATCAACCTTTGGGGGTTATCATCCTGTTTAGTGCATATGTTTTAAGGAAGTAATGGATCACCCTCTTACCACCTGGTAATTGTATCTCATTCGCAACCATGACTTTTCACCTCCTTGCCCTCGAGTGCCTGTCATTATCAGGGGCTCTGTGGGTTTAAATGACAGTTTGTACCTTTGACCAGTATCTCCATTTGGAGTCATGACAGCCGGACTCAGAGAAGGAAATTACTTTACACTCACTTTGTTCCACTTTTTAAATTACAAATGAAGGGAGGAGTCACTCCATTTCTATGCAACTAGGGGGGGTCTTAAAAGGAAGATAGTCCTAAAAGTCCACAAAGGGCTGTGGGGAAGAGGTCAGAGTCTTGGGGCAGGAAACTAGATTTTCTAGCTTTCTCTGTGATGTAGGTGCTTTGTTGTGTGTGAACAAACTTCTCTTGTGTAGCCTGACTCCATTTATGACACCAATTAAAGAGTATAGTCGAGGTTTTTCTTTTATTTGTTTTGCTGCTGTGCTTTTGTTTGTGGGATTTTTGGTTTGTTTTTAAATTGTTCTGAGAAAGGCTGACTTGTAGAGGAAAGAAATGAGTAGAAGCAAGGTGGGACTGGACACCTCCCCCACGTGTCCTCTCTAGGTGGAAGCACTGCAGGCTCAGCTGGAAGAACAGACCAGACTTTCTAGAGAGCAAGTTGAAGGGCTCATGGAGGACAGACGGATTCGCCTTGAGGAAATACAAGTTCATCACCAGAGAAATCAGGACAGAGTCAAAGAGCTTATCAAAAAGTGAGTGTTCAAGAAAGCTGTACCTAACAGATTAAAAAATGTTCTGAGTGGCTTAGAAGTTAGCACTTTTAGCAGCATAGGATCATGAAACTGAAAGGGACCTTGCAAAAACTGTCCTCATTGGTCACCCCTTTCTCCGTGTAGTGCATGTCCAGACTTTCCAGGAATGCAGTTGATTCTTTTCTTGAATTGCTGGTGGGTATTTCACATGCTCAGTTAAACCCATTTTAGTGTCTTAGCTTGATCTTAGTGGTTCAGAAATGTTCTTTTATCCACTGATGTCTTATCTGAGTCAATATAGTGGGACACTTTTCTTTTATTTGACATTTCATGAGTATGGAAAAATATGACTTTATATACTTGAACAAAAAAACACAAACTCTCGGGCTGGCCGAGTGGCTCAGTTGGCTAAGAGCTTGCCCAAGAGTGTGAGGTCTGAGCAACAGGGTCGCCGGTTCAATTCCCACATGGGCCAGTGATGCTGTGCTCGAGCTGAGCTGCCGCTGAGCTGCCAACAGGTAGCAGGATGGCTCAGCTAGTGAGAGCACGTGCTCCTAACAACAAGACTGCCTGTTCAATGGTGAGCTATGCCTGCCTACAACTAAAGAATGAACTCAGCACCTTGAGCTGAGTTGCTGCCTGGGTGTCTCAGGGGATAGAGCGTGCGCGCTCTCTTAACAACAAGGGTGCTGGTTCGACTCCCTCATGGGATGGTGGCTATGCCCACCCGCAACAATTGAACACAGCACCTTAAGCTGAGTGACGTGACTGGACTTGGAGCTGAGCTTGCTGAGTCCTCCACAACTAAGATTGAAGTACAACTTGGCTGTTACCCTTCCCTAATTCCCCCACACTGTTCCCCTCTCCTAATTCCCCAATTTAAATAAAAACAAAAAAACCACAAACTCTGTCCTCACGGTTTTGGTTCCTTACCTGCCTGCCTCCCCTCACCTTTCTGCAGTGTGATTTCACTCCCACCATTTTACAAGCAGGCCCTTTCCAAGCTCATCACTGACTTCTTCATTTCTCTGGCCAGTTACCTCTTTACAGTTTTCATTGTAATTAGTATTTTTCTGTGTATTTGTCACTCCTGATCACGCTCTCTTTGAAAGTAATCTCCCTAGATTCTTGTCTTTTTTGGTTCTTCTACCCACCTAGCCCTCCTCAGCCTTTTGTCTGGTTCCAGTGGCCAGACCTGTGCTGTAACATCTTCAGTTGAATATGTTTGAACACCTCAAATTTACCATGATTAAAACCAACCTGTTTTTTTGTCCCAACAAGCACCCCTTACTCCATCTCAAACCTACTACTTGTTTTTCCCATTTAGTTTCGTGATATCACATCCATCCAATTTTCCAAGCTTGAAACCTCAGAATTATCATCAACTCCCCACTCTTATTCCCTAATTCCAAACCCTATCAGTGTAATCCTGAGAAGCCTTTCAAATCCATTCTCTGCCCTCTCATTCTTACTGTATTGGTTCAAGCAATAGCCATGTTTGAATTATTGCAATGATAGAAGTGTTCTTCCTATCACTGGTTCCCTTTGAGTAGACTTCCTCACTATGATGAGTTAGCTCCTCCATTAGGACTTATCACCTGGTAAGAAACATTTGGTAGCTTCCTGTTTGTCTTATGATGGAGTCCTGATACCTTAGCATGAATTGTTAGGAACTTCACCTGGTACCAAATTAGCTTTTCAGTCTCACCTCATTTTCTGTCACTGTGTTCACTTTGTCCTTCAGCCAAACTAGTCATATCTGTTGTTTATGGAGCACTTGCTATATGGCAGGCACCTTGCTATGCAATGTCACACCTTCTCTGAAGTCTTTCCCCGGGCAGAATTAGATTTTTCTTCCTCGAATTCCCATAAATATTAGCACACCTCTCTGATAGCACTTATCACCACCTACTGTAATTATGTACTTGTTCCTGCCTAGTCTCTGTTCCACTCTGTGTGCATGACAGGCACACAGTAAACATCTGCTGAATACTTGGTGATCCTTATCTCATTGTATCTTACCACCATTTTTCTACGTTAAACATCCTCCATTTAAAATATGTTTTTATGTTACATTTTTTTTGGGGGGGGTGAATTGGGGGAAGGGGAACAGACAAGTTGCTGTCCTTTTGTTCTTCAGTCTAGTGGTGGAGGACGTTGCTTCACTGGCCCAAGTTGGCACCATCATTGCGCTCTTCCCGGGCGAGGCAGATCAGTCGCTGGCTTCTGGACGG